TTTATTCCAAGATGGAGTAAACTAAACTGTAAGCAGAGAAACAAAGGAAATAGTAGGTACACTTACATGCACAAATAATTAAAACTGAAGGTAAAAAAGAAAGGAGGGTGGTGGGAAACATGGGGGCCAGCAGGCCCTTAGCAAGCTACCAGGTAAGAATTCTGGCCAAGGATTACTTGGTGGCTTTCTAGAACAAAACATAGGAAAAGCATAGACTCAGACAAAGATGTAGACAGGACACTCAAAAGACATGCACTTGCCATATGTTTTTAAATATTTACTTTTATAATAAAAGGGAACTTACTGCAGAGTATTTGGGGATTACAGAAAAATGGTTTTAATTTCCTTAACAGCCATGGATAACTATAGCCAGTATCTGGCATTCATACTTGGAATTTGCATGGAAAAAATTATTGTTACACTATATAATGTTATACATTTTCCTGTGTGTTCCATTATTTATTTATTTATTTATTTATTTATTTATTTTTGGCCGCACTGCACGTGCGACTTACAAAATCTTAGTTCCCTGATCAGTGATTGAACCCAGGTCCCTAGAAGTGACAGTGCCAAGTCCTAACCACTGGTTGGCCAGGGAATTCCCTCCTATGTGTTCCTTTAAAGATGGTGTTAAAATATGAGTAATGGTGTGAAACATTTTGTCCATTAAAATGTACCACAATTTAACTACTTTATTATCAACTGGGTGATTTAGGTTGCTCCCAACTTTTAAGTTTTAAAAATAACACTGCAATTTACATACTCTTGTATATTAATCTTAGTGTATACCTCTGGGTATTTCCTTATTTTAAGTAAAATCACTCAAAGGATACAAAATTTTATCAATATATACTGTTAGGTTGGCTACATCATAATAACTTTGCCAACAATGTTTAACCTGCCAATTTGGTAAGTCATATATTCTCTCATTTTTTTAATCTGCATTCTTTGGATTAGACACAAAACCATTTGTATCCTATGCTTATCGATTATTTTTAATTTTTATAAAAAATTGCTCCATGTGACCTCTGTATATATGAGATCACTCATTTTTATTTCCCCACACAGCAACTGCAAGTCTTATCTTTGACGGATAAAAGCTCTTCCTTAGTAGATGAGCACACGCGTAACGACTGAAAACTGTGAATCTGGAGAAGTATGGAATATGGCAGTCTCTGTAGAAACTCCTCTGCATATAACATAATCCTCATGCGCTGGGCATTACTTGGGTTTTGAAAGAGTATTTGTAAAGTCCTTATGTTCACCTTCACATCTCTGAAACTTTGTGAAGACTCTATTCTCAACATGTGAAATACAATTCTTGTAAAAGCCTATCTCCTCCATATACTCTTTCTTCCTCAACTGAGCTGCTAATTCACACTTCTCCTAAAAAGCAAGGAAATGCTGTCACTAAAGCAAATGCAGTATTTTATATGTGTTGATTTTTTCCTCCCAACTAGTGAAAGCCTTACACAGCCTTCCTAACTATTGGGTAGAACGCCATATATCATGTATTCTGAGTATTTAATACATTGGTCAATATCAAACATGCAGAGTTCATTTAATTCCATTATCTCATTTTCTAGAAGAGGAAACAACAGTTCTGATAAGTATCATTCTCACATTCAAGGAGAATCAGGGCCAGAACCATTCTTTCCCACTCTTTCCTGAACCAGTCCACTGACCAATCACATTCGCCTAACTACACAGTGACACACCCAGCAGCACTGCTAGCATTCTAGGAATGTTTCTGAATGAAAAAGATAAAAGTCTGTACTTTCAAATAAATCAGAACTTAAAGATTCAAATATAATTTACATCAAAGCAGTCTCTCTGGAAAACGATGCAAATATTTCAATGACATTACAGTTTATTAAAGGAGTTTTATAATTTCCTTTTGAAAGAGCCCATAGGGCCAGTTTAAAAGAAAATCATAATCCTTAAACTTAAGTCACTTTCACAACCATATATCATTTTAGATTTCAACTGATGTTACTTTGTTTTTCAATTCATCTTATTCTCTAGAATTAAATGACCTTTAGCCATTTCAAAAATTTATATCCAGCTTCAAAGCATCAGGATTTGCCATCACTCATGATATTCAAAGAGAATGTAAAATTCCAAAAGATGAGCTTAAGATGTTTGGAACAATGATGGCATTGTAAAAGTAAGCTCATAACTTCCCCAAGAGTCTGTTTATATTCCTTCTCTTTCCAAAGAGGAGTTGAGGGAGTTTATTGCTATTTGGGGGGAAAAAACTTACTTAAAGACGTAAACTGTTTCTGAAAGGACTTTTTTAGTTATACCTCATGCAATCATGTAACTACTGAAAACTCTCTAAAACTGTATTTGGAGTATATACCAAAGATGAGCCTGTCAAATTACACTGCATATACACTTATATATGCATAGAAAAATGTTTTAAAGTACATTTTTATGCACTTTATGCAAATAATGATATCTATTGAGGGATAGGATTATAAGACATTTTAATTTTTCTTTACTTTTGCTCACCTGGACCTTCTTACATTCCTACTATGGATATGGAGCATTTATACAATTTAAAAAATACATAGTAATATTAAACAAAAAAGTATATATACATATACATTTTAAAATTCCAAGAGCTAAACATTAAAATACTTAATCTAAATTTGCACATCTCAAAATTTGGCTCAGAAAGAAGGGTATGCCTGCCTAGATACTATAGAGGCAGGGTTTAAAAAGAGCAGTGAAGTTGGATTTGTCTTATCTCCTTGCCCTTCTGTATAATTCTGCAACTATCCATACAATTCAAAAAGGAATCTTTGCCTATTCTACATGAGCCACTACCTCTCAAAATGTTTAACGCACATTCTAACAGTAATTACATTGTTGACGACCTGAAAATGGGTCACCCCACACAACTGATTAAAACTCTCTTATGCAATCTTCCTTTGGAGGAAACAAGGACAGCTTGTACAAATATTTCAACTAGATCTACTTCCCTAAGAGAATATGGTACACATTTGTAGGTATTACCAAGTTCTAAAAGCACACAGAAAGGCAAAGGAAAAATTATAAAGAAGTTAAATTTGCCTAGTCATTTGTCCTAACCAATTTCATGTTACATCATTAATTTAAGAAAGTACAGAGGCTTCTGTTGTGTCATTAGTTAATAAACAATGTCTGAAGTTTAGATATTTACACTTTGAAAGTTATGATGAAATAATTATATTACCTGGAAATATATGTTAAGACAAGACTTGAGAAAAAACTACATTTCTATAGGATATGTAATTGCATTTCTATAGGTTCATTGTTAGTTTCAACAAGCTATACTGTTTCCTTTCTGACTAGGAATCTAGGGTAACAAAACTATATTTACCAAGCCAATTTTTAGTCTTTAAATAAATAGGTATGTATGAAATGTATTTGAATGAATTTACATGGTTTGGACATTCTGTTTGTAAAGGTTTAAAGATCATACCACTCAACTACATAAAAGTTTTAAATGCCTATAAAGAAAGAAACACCCTAAAGTTAAAAGACAAATGGGGGATAGGGAACCACAATGTGACACAAAAGCCCTCCCAAACTGAGTGAAACCTACATTCCACCACACTGGAATGGAACTGAGAAAGGGCTGGTGTCCCAAGTATGCTAAGGTATTAAGTCAGATACACTCAGGGATTGTCTCAAAGATTCAGCACCTCACAGCACTCTTCCTATATCACCAGCTGATAACTAAAACTTGGAGGCCCTTATAGTAATTCAATTATCCATGAAGTATCTTCTCAATTACTGACTTTAAAAACTTAACTTAAGGGCCCTTAAGAGGAAATCACCAGTTTATTCTTAAAATGAGCACTAAGAATCCCAGCCTAAGAAGGGATTATAGATGCTCTGTAGTATTTTTATAGCATGAAATTCTAAAACATATAAAGTAGCTAGATGTCAGGGGGCTAGGCCGTTGCATCTGACTGGGAATTAGCCTGTGACTATTCTAATGTTCCTGCATTATTTATCCGAGACAGAAATGTGGGGGCCTAGAATCAAAACATATAGCTCAGAATGTCTTTGGTCCACGTCTTTTAAAAAACCCTTTTAAGGTGGTGGGGCAGTCTAAATTCCAAGAGTTCTGGCATTAGCTCTGAAGACAAGCCCACAGCAGTAGCAAGATACCTGAAACTAACAATTCTGAACATGCGGTTCAGTGTGACAGAGAATGCTCTAATATATTCCAATTTTATTTTCTTCTTCCTTCTTAAAATTGGTCAATATTTTATAACATTTTAAAATCATCTACAGAATGAAATTTTTAAAAGTGGGCTTAAGTTAGCTAAGTTACTACCATTCTACAGTCTCAAAATATTTAAAGGTTATCAATCTTCAATCAAATATACCTCTATAGCATCTGATGCTAAAATATCTAAATTGTCACTAAATGCCTTAATAGGGGTAATAGGTTAATATCACCAATTAGGGCAGAAGATGAAGGTGAGGAAAAAAATACCCTTTATACAACCCCACTGAGGTTTCTCCTCTACTTTCTTTAGCTGTTTAGAGGGCTAAAAAGATTAGGAATGTAGAGAATGGAAAAGGGTACCCAGAGTTGGAGTTAACAAAAGTAAAGTAGGATATACACAGGATTTTTCAATGGCAGAATTAGAAATAGGCACTGTAAAATATTAATTCCAAAAATCTGGCATTTAAAATGAGATTTAAGATGTTTATTATTTTACTGCTAATAGCCTGAATGGACAGTGGGTCTTAAAATTGTTTAATCTGACCCTAACAGAAAAATCTAGAGTTATAGTCATTACAAGCATGCAAAGGGTATATTTAAACATCTTCTATCACACTATGGAAGTACCCCCCCCAAATTACTAATTAACCTAAGCCAAAAAAGGAAAAAATTCAGTTAATATTTCTAGAATTAATGATCTCCCATAAAACGTAGGATTTTCTTTTTTTCCATTTCAAAACTCTCTAAGGAGAGAAACTGGGTAGTTACATACCTATAGATGGAGATTTGAAAGGGTATTTATCAGGAAGATCCACTCTAACTTTCCATACTCCACCTTCATATGGTGCTGAAATAAAAGCAAAAAAGTTAAACATTAGGATTGTGCCTTCAAATCAGAAGATAAATCTGAATGTAAGTTAAACATTAAATCCTAACCTGTTTTGAGAACCTTGCAAATTAATTCCTTCAAGAGTCAGGGAACTCTTATAACTAACTAACTACTATAACTAGTAGGTACTCTATGTTCAATTATAATACTTTTCTTTAAAAAATCTAGAGTTAGCAAAGGTTCACTTTCTCCCCCAAATTTACCTGATTCTTTAAAGTATCAAACACTGTTCAGTTATTTGGTAAGTAATAGCCTACTGTCTCAATCTATACCATGCTCACCCCACCCCCAAAAAACAACAAAAAACATTTCCACAAAACCCAGAATTCACAGTTCATGTTCAATACTGTCACACAGAGATAAAACAGAAAAGCATATAAAGTAATTATGATAAGAGCAAGATTTCCTCACTGCTTCTAGAATTAAATTAAATTTACTTTTCAAAAACTACATGTATCACCATCTCCCTTGACATTCTCACTATTAAGGAATAGAGTAAAAGATTGTAATAAAAAACACACACCAACACATATACTTACTTCCTTGTGGTCCATAAAACTTCACTACAAATTCATTGAGTCCTCCTAGGATCGTAACCTCATGCTTACTCTCGATGCTAAGGTGGAAGGTAAAGGAAATTACACAGGCTTTATATTACCCAGAAGAACTAAAGATGGCTTCCTCAAGATATGCCATTTAAAGTGTTACCAACATTTTATATGAAAGCAATAAAATATAAAACATGAATAATAATTCTTGTAATTTAAAAGGCAATATACGCTCTTGTGAAAAGAATATGAATGAGCTTTAGATTCAGAGAAGCTGGGGTTCAAATCCTAGAACTGCCATATACTGAATTTGAGCCTAGACAAAATAATGTAAACTCACTCCCTGAGCCTTTTGTTCTCCTTTGCAAATCAGGAAAACACCACTTTACAGACCTCTGTTAAGATTAAATGGGTTAAGTATGTAAAATGTGTAAGACCACATTGTATATATAAGTAAATGAAAAATAGGCACTTAATTTTAGTTTTTCTCCCCTCTGTACTGTCCCCACCCCACCCTATCCCCAATGACCCTTTAACATAAATCCGGCATTCCCTTTAGTCAAATTCAAGCACTCAGCAAAACACCGATTCTCCTGAACTGGAAATGCTGTGCTCCTAAAATTACACATTTACTAAGGAAGTCCCCATAATTTTCTCCCTGGCTTAGAGAATAATCAAAATAACTAGTGATATAACCTTGCTATAAGTAGCATTGCCAAATACAAAAGACAAGCAAAAAAAAAAATTTTTTTTTTAAATCTGTAGTATTTATTTTCACCTACTCTTTTCCTCCCTCTTTTCCATCCCCTTGAGACTGTATGTGCTCGGGGTTGGAATCACAGAGCGCTAACACTTCTGTGTTCCCTTCCTCAAAAATTTACTTGTCCCAAGACCCACCCCTTTAAGGTACTAAGATTCGATTATAGAAACCAAACCAACCCACATCAGCAGAAGAGAGGGCTACTGGCTTAATATCTGTTTAGTCTCTGCTTTGTGGTCTAACCCAATAATGACTCTACTGAGAAAAATTTTAGATGGTGGGGGCTTTCGGGAGCTCTCAAATCCCACTGTAACCTTAAAAAAAAACCACCACCAACAACCAGATATGACAGACTGGTCTCATCTTTCTCAACCACCAGTGCAAATTACATTTTAATTATGTGTACTATTATACAAAAGAAAAAGAGCCAAAGAAATTTTAAGTGATCTCTTAAATAGAGAAAAATGTTAGTTTTAAAGGCTTGAAATTAAGTATTTGGCTCTCCAATCCTTTGTCCTGCAGGCCACAGAACAGAGGCCAGGTGTATTTTTGGCAAAGTCCTTGCTCAAGAGCAATGAACAGTATCCACTAGAGATATTAAATAATAAGATAATTCAGTCTATTTGATCTCATTCTTTTTGAAAACTATTTTAATAACATGCACACTGAAAGGATTCAAATAGTATCCACATTGGAAAATTGGCTTCATTTCTCATGGTCAAATGAAACATGCATGCATGCTTTGGTGTACTAAATTCTTCCTGGCACCTCCTTACAAAATATTCCAAAGCTAATGCTAATGTAATAAATTAAAGTACATGTTTAAATTGTTTTAAAACAAAAACAACCAAAAAAGTTCCCTTGTGTTAGTAAAAGTCAAATCTAGTTACAATAAACAAAGTTAATTACAAATAACTAAGTTCTCAAAAAAACAAACAAAAAAAACCTTGGGGATAAAAGGTTTTCTTAAGAATGACACCAAAGCCAGAAATCACAGAGGGAAAAATCAGCAGATGCAAGCACACACACACATTTAAAACTTCTATATTGTAAAAAATAAAGTTAGGACAAAGGACAAACTAAAAAGAAAAGACCAGAAGAGCCAAGTTGAGAAAACTGAAATTAAGCCATAAAAAGCCCAACTCATTAGTTTAAAAATGAGATATTTTCCACTATTAATTGATAGAGATGAAACAGCTAGATAAATCCCAGTGTTCAGTGGAGTATAAACTGGTATTCCTGAGAACAAATTTAGCACTCTACTCTAAAACTTAAAATGAATTTACTCTTTTACTCAAATTTCACTTCTTTCAAGTTATTTTTAAAAAAACAAAAAACAGACACTGCTGGTGGGAGTGTGATACGGTTTCAACCACTTTGGAAAACTGTTGGCATGGTAAAGCTGCACACATGCATGTCCCACACTCATCAGCACCATTCCCAGTAGACAGGAATAGCTATGTTCACCAAAACACGTTTAAGAATGTTCGTATAGCACTACTTGTAATATCCAAAAATTAGGTTACAACCCAAAAGTTCATCAACAGTAAAAAGGATAAATTATGGTACAGTCACCCAACAGAATATTACACAGCTATAAAAAATTAACTGTACATGTAAATGGATGAGTCTCCAAGATATTACAGTAAGTGAAAGAAAGCAGATACCAAAGAGCACATACAATATGATTCCATCTACACACATTTCAAACAGGCTAAATGAATCAAGGTGTTAGAAATTAGGATAGTGGTCATCCTCTAGTGGGGCCTGGTCATTGGAAAGGGGTTTGAGAGGGACTTCTAGAGTGCCGATTACACTTTTATTTACAGTTCCATTTATCAATGAGCTACAAAAATGATTTGTGTACTTTTTGTACATATGTTACTATTTAATAAAAGAAGTTTACTAAATATAAGACTATCTGATACATGTACATTTTTTATTTAAATTTTTATTTTTATTTTTTTCTTCTTTTTGGTACGCGGGCCTCTCACTGTTGTGGCCTCTCCCGTTGCGGAGCACAGGCTCCGGACGCACAGGCCCAGCGGCCACGGCTCACGGGCCCAGCCGCTCCGCAGCATGTGGGATCCTCCCAGACCGGGGCACGAACCCGCATCCCCTGCATCGGCAGGCGGACTCTCAACCGCTGCGCCACCAGGGAAGCCCTATTTAAATTTTTAAAATGAAAATTTTAAGTATTTATCAATAGGAAAAAGAATTATAAGCCATTTATGCAACAGGCTGCTACTAGTGTCTATTATTGTTTACTAGTGTCTTCTCGCCACCCAGAGCTCCTCTAATGTATGTTTCTGCTTAACCTGGGGTATCCAGAAGTAGTCAAAATGAATACACTGTAGTACCACATATAAAGATATCTCAGACATTAAACTAAATGAATTTGCAAGGATAGTAATGGAGTAAGGTAGAGGATTAAATGAGTTTAACAAAAGAAGTCAAACTAATTTTACAATATAAGAATCTGGGGCTTCCCTGGTGGCACAGTGGTTGAGAACTTGCCTGCCAATGCAGGGGACACGGGTTCGAGCCCTGGTCTGGGAGGATCCCACATGCTGCGGAGCAGCTAGGCCCGTGAGCCACAACTACTGAGCCTGTGCGTCTGGAGCCTGTGCTCCGCAACAAGAGAGGCCACGATAGTGAGAGGCCCGCACACCGCGATGAAGAGTGGCCCCCACTCGCCGCAACTAGAGAAAGCCCTTGCGCAGAAACGAAGACCCAACACAGCCAAAACTAATAAATAAATAAATTAAAAAAAAAAAAAAAAAAAGAATCTGTAAAAGCAGCATTCCCTATCAATCAGACCTAACTTGCTATGAATGACACTAATCTACAGCAATTACTCTTAATTAATCATTTAAAATTATAAGTTATCCACATGGATGTCCCCTCTAGAAAACTGAAGATATCTTTTCTATCTTTTATGTAGATGCAGTTAAGTCTGGGTTTCTTCCATTTTGTGATCTGTTTGGGATTTAGTCCATGCTGTTACCTACTTTTCAAAGAAGATTCTCCTTTCGAAAAGGTCATGTGAAAATGAGATTAGAAATTAATGCTCCAAACCTCCTCTTTCCCATGATTCCTGGTATAACCCACATTCCAGATACACTGGGTCTGTCTTAAATTACACATTATACTGTAAATTAAAGTGTTATTATAGTCCATTTCACATGAAAAGCTAAAAGTAAACTGAATGAAACCTTTAAAAACTTCTACCAAGTTGGTAAAATGAAGCTGTACTAAATTTATGCTGCCTTGGAGTGGTACAGACACTAAATCAGATGGAAAAAAAGAATTTAAGTTTAGTTCAAAGAAAAACACTGCATTAAAAATAAGCCATTCCATCACCATGAATGAATGACTTACCCACAAAAAATATAAAATTACTTGACTACTGTTACCATGTATATTTATGGTAGAGGCCATGAGTTTCTTTCTGCTCCCTGCTGCGAAGTCAAGGGCAAGGAAGGCAAATGAGAAGGCAGGTTACAATGACAGGTTACAATGATCTATTTCTGAGATGTGCTGGTCAGGCTAGTAGCCTGGTGGGAACTCACTAGAAGGTTCCTTCATTACTTTCTCACTTTCAAAGCTTGAAAATATAAAATATCCTTCAGATACCGTTCTGGTAAAAATATGTTAAATAAACCCATAAAAATCACATTTTACTCACCTCTAAGTTATTTGTAAAATACTGCTTTTTACTTACTTAGCATTTCACTATTAAGGAATGTCAGCATTTTCAGTAGAACAGTGATTAACATTCCCAGGAACCCAAGTTCATTTCACTTTTAAAATGCCAGCCACCCACCAACTTATTTTCCCTGAATGGCATTATGATTACACAATGTAATATTTAAAGGTTAATGCCAAGCCGTCAAGAGATAACTGACATTCTTGGCAAAACGTGTCTGTCGGGATTTTAGAAATGATTTTTATATACTTCTGGGATTTTCCAGAAAGGGAGCCAAGGGCTAAGCCTGTTAACAGGTCAAGGATTCAGACAGCATTTTTTCCTAAATTTGCTGATAGTGAGTTTGTAAGATAAAGGAAGGTGGCCTCCCTGAGCTGTGCCCATGGCAGTAAGGGACTAGGATAAAGAACAGGTTGCTTCTGTGCAGAAGGTAAAAGCAATTTGCGTGGGCTTTCCATCCACATGTTCAGACCAGTCCGCTTCCAACTCTCCTTGAGATTAATCACATCACGAAAGTTGAAGAAACTGGGCAACCTTCACTACCTAGTTTTCTTGATAAAAATATGGTATGTCTACTAATCCAATAATGAACAAAATAT